ATTTGGAAATAATTTTGTGGAAGCGTTAACTCCACTTGTCGTGCAGGAATTCTGTGCGAGACAAACAATGTCATTTCTTCTTTTGAGTATGTAGTTTGTATTTTATTGCGTTTAGTGGGCATACACTAGCAAAAATAACTATAATGGCTATGGTCAAACGTATGCATAGGAAATAAATTCAGAAATTCTGCTTAAGAATGAATTTGGCTCGCATCTGAATTATTTATGCTGGATAACATGGATACATATTTCTACAGGGTGTTAATAAAGTCCGATCCCATTTTTCCTGTAAAAAAGTGAAGGCTAGTATAAAAAAAACTACCCGTGATACTTACAAAAAATGTTCGACATATTTACCTTAGTATTTGGTCTTGTTACCATTTACTTTAACCATGCCCTCAACTCTTTGTTTAAGGCTCTGTGCTAATTTTTCCAATGTGCCTCTGGAAATCGAATTCCATACATCTTGAACTTTTTTTTACTAGCTCTTCCCTCGTCCGGGGTTGTGGCTCTTTGTATACATTTTCCTTAAGTATGGACCACTGGTTCTTCAGGGGATTCAAATCTGGGCCGTTAGCGGCCCACACCCCCTTGCTCCAGACCGTTGAAACTTGCGTCTTGATGAGACTCAAACTCGCTTTTGCTGTATGGGCTATAGCACCATCCTGCATGAAAACTATTTTTCTTTCATTCGGAAATATTTCCTTGTTCCCCATGCTATCGAAATAGATAGGTAATATTTTTTCCATATAATGCTTTGCATTGACTGATTGGCCTTTTGGTATGATATGTAGAGGGGTCACGCAACGTGCACAAAATCCACCCGCTACCATAACTTTAAGCCCGAATTTTGGGATCGCTCTTGATGGTACATCCGATTTGTTTTCTGTCCTGTAACGAACATTTTGTTGGTTCAATTTTGGATATAGTTCAATAATAGATTCGTCAGTCCAAAGGATGTGACTGCGCAATTCTTCACCAAGTCTTTTTTCACTCAAATGGGCACTTTTCTGAAGGAGTTCTTCAAATTTCAGACGGTCATCGATATATTTTTGTGACATGAGAGGTTTTTTTGGTTAGTTTGTAAGCTGTGTGACCCCACTTCGTAGTTTTCACAAATTTTTGCACGGTCACACAGTTAATTTGCTTCTTCTTCTCTTTATAGCGTTTTGAGTCATTTAACTCCCTTGCTCAATTACGTAATGAACTACCGGTTTTCTTGCAAAGTCTGTTTTTAATCATTCTTTTTGTGGTAGGTGACACCTTTCTGGGTCGCCCTGGTCGCTTTTTGTCGTGGACAAAATTTGTATTCTTCCATTTCCAAACAGTTCTGCGGCTGCAGCCCAATTTTTGCACAATTTCTGTAGGTTTAAGCCCCTGCTGATGCAATGTTTGTATCTCAACTCTAAGATGCTCATGACTTACACGTTTAGTTGTTCCTCCCATGGTAAAAATTTGAAATAAATAACTTCACTGGTTCAAAAGTTCCAGCTGAATTTGTAACAACCACGCTCCAAAAAATGCATGGGATCGGACTTTATTAACACCCTTTATAATGCACTTTCTTGTTTATGTTTGGGCCCAACACTTGAAAAGTATCTGAAGCTATTACCTACATAACAGTTCCATACATACCTTTATTAATACACATTTGACTATGCATCCTTTGTTTAAACCATCTATATTATAAGCTGGAAATGTTTGTCTGCAACGGAAGTGAAAGTAATTTTCCGTGACGGAAGTGAAAGTGAAGAAAGTTTCACTTCCTTGCCAAAAGACGTTTCCAGCCAATAATATATACATAATTAAAAATAATAATTCGGTGTAATTATGAAGAAGAAAATTAATTAAGCCCATCGACCGGCGGGAGACGGGCTTATTCGCTAGTGACTAAATAATCTGAAAATAAATTTCAGTCTGTTGCAACCGTTGAGTTGAATCGTTCACTTATTTACCACGTTAAATAAGTATTTTGTTTCTAGGAGTTCTTAATCATGAAGGTATGTATGTATATAAGACGTAATTACGAATAATAAAAAATATGCAGAAAATCAAGAATTACACAAATAACGTACCTATGTAAATATGTTTCAAATTTTTCTTATTCTTAATGATTTGCATGGTTAAACTGAGTACACATAATCAGACCAACGATGTAGGTATATACAGTTGGGACGAGGTTACTTTTTAGTCCTCGTTTTAAGAAGCGTAGTAATAAGAAACATGTATGTTTGATATGAGCGTAGTACATAAGGAGTAAAGACCCTTTATACATATTTGTCCTTGACATAAATTCGTTAACCTACACATTAATCGACAATAGTAACGTAATAGTGTAATTTATAATGAGAAACAATGTCGCGGACTTCGTTTCCTTTGTAATATTGTACAATTTAACGTCCCCAACGCCCAACTCGACCCATTTGACTTGCCTAGATTTCGCTACCCTCAATCCCCACCCCCTCCCCGGTCCGGACCACCCACCCACAACCATTTTCACCCGTCTCAACCATTCCACCGGAATAGTAGCACAATTAATAAACATCGGAATTGCGACATCCCCCAGGGCACAAGCCAGCCCGAAAAAAGCAGGAAATCCGATGTAAAACTGCAAAGCGAATTTTTCCCGCAATTTTATCGTGCAAAAGGCCAAAATAATTCCGAGCACGAGTAAGGCGTAGAAAAACAGGGCAAAAATGTTCATCATCATGATTCGACCGTGCTGTAAATTTATGCGAAATCTGTCATAAAAATTGAGCGAGGTTCGAAGTCTGGAAAAATTTGTGGAATCTTTGATACTTCGCAAAAGCTCGGTTTGATATGTCGATGCGATGATTAGAGTTGAGAATCCGCAAATATTTAAGAATCCCAACATCCTAGCGCCTTCCAGAGTTACAAAGGCGGTGAGGACGAATCGGATGGCGAGCAGGGTCCATGATGTGAAGGGGCCCGGGATAATTTCAATGTTAAAGGATGACACGACCAATTTTGATAAGAGATTTGGTGAATCGTAGTTTAAATAGAGGAGGAAACCCGCAACGAATGGAGGGCACAAGGCATACTGTAGCATGGCGGTTTGTAACACTTTTGTGGTAATTGTGAAGCTGGATTGGTTTAAAAAATGAGGCTGACCAGATTCTAGATAGAAATTAATATCTACGTTATTACAAATTTAAGTAGGTACACAATTTTCATAGAAAAGATTGTCTCATTATGTCTCATTAGTAAAATAGAGGAAGCCAAAACAATTGGGTATGGGTAATTTATCCAACGTTATGCGTTAAGACTTACAAGAAGTTGTGCAAAATTTACCAAAAGTAGTGCAAAAATTTTTGTCCAAGGTTATGAAGACTTTACTCAATATTACATACATACATAAGTTAAACTCACTCCGTGTTTAACTTATTTTGATACCTTTGGATATTTGTTATCCAAAATTGTGTAAACTTTACTCAACGTTGAATAAGGAAGACGAGGACAGACCAATTTTGGTCAACGGTTCTACAAATTTTGCATATTCGCTGATAATCCTCTGCTTTACTCAAACTTATTTAAGTAAACTCTCTTTACGTATGAATTTTATGTACAGTGTTTCCCTTACTTTTCACCAGCTGGTCAAAATCCTCGCACAACTCGTTGGTCATTCTTGCGTAAACATCCCCCAACAAAATTACCCCAAAAAATCCGATCGTTACTATTGATGCACAAGCCACGGATAGGCAGCAGATCACGAGCTGTTCGATGGTAATGGGATGACCGGATTTTGTCTGATTTACCCAGACAAGGGTTGCCACACCGGTGATAAGGTAGAAGGGGTGGATCCCCCCAAATATTTTCCATGCGGTGTAGTATCCGTCATTACTCGGGGGAGGAGGACTACCCGTTTTACAGAAGTGTTAAAACCCACCGGAAATCTCCACATATGGGAAAATGCTTTCGTGTAAGTTTCAATAATTTTCCAAATGCTGCCCATTTCTTTAAGGTTTTGGGTGAAATGTTCTCGAATTTGGTTGTAAGAGGTTTAATGATGATGATGACTTGCTTAAATTCGGGAAACTCTTCCCCAATTTATTGCCGGATTTATGTTGAGGCCTAATGAAGTATTTTTATTATGATGCACAAACAACGCCTCATTTAAAGTATTATTTGCTCTTGTTATTCGTCGCGTTTTACTATTTCGTTTACTTTTCACCCTGCCAATCTATGCAATGTACGTAGAAAGTGAATGTTTCAAACATCATTTTCTTGCCACTCGAGAAAAAAGTTGATTGGATTTCGACTATGCATAATGAAATAAAACAGAACAGAAAACAGCATTAATTGCGCTAAAAATTAATCAAAATAATGAAAGGAAAATGTTGACATTAATGTTCAACAGAATAGAATTTAATGGAATGCGTAAAATGTGTAAACTACCTATAAATTGTTGTCTGTGTGAGAATTAAATTAAACATAAAATATGTAAAATGACATTCATTTCGTTGAATGCCCTAAATAAGGCATAATATGTATATATAGTTTGGTTTAAATGTGTCGCTACAATGGCAAATTTTTAAAATTTCCATTTTCACAGATCTTAAAGGGCACGCGTGCTTTACAACATGAATAAAACACTAACGGTAGATATGTAATGCCTAAATACATATGTTAATATTTCCAAATTTTTAGTGCATTAATAAAACAATGAATGAATATCGTTTTCTAATTTTTAAATTTAATGAATTTTGAATGACGAGATATTCGTTGAACGTGTATGCTAATAATTAATTGAATTGATTAAACATATTAATATAATTATCTAACTTCATATGCATACTATGTATAAAGAAATAGAATTCATTGCAAGCACAGTTTCAGTACAAGCAATATGTGCGAAACATGTGTTTCTTCATTTCTTCTTTTGGGTCGATTGGGTCAATATATGTATTTTATGTAAATGTAGGGTATCTCTGTTGAATAATTTTGTTAGTTACTAATTGCAGGGGTGCTGTTATCGCATATTGTGCTAATTAGCAATTAAGAATTTTACTGCATATGCATGTTTATAAATATTCACAATAGATTTTATCCTAATAAATTGTAAACCTGCTTGACCAATCTGTTACATTTTCAACCAACCATAAAATTGAATTTTCTAACCCCAGAATTACTGTTGCTTCCCTGTAAGTAAGAATTACTAAATTGTTAATTCATATTATTTATAATTTGGTAAATATTCATAAATTCTGAACAACTAGCCACAAAACCTTACGTACAACAGCCACATATCCCTCTATGATCCCGATATCCCAATGATTTCAACAAGTCGCGATGTCATAGCCATAATTGTACCACAGTCAGATATTTCTGCCACTGTGAAGGATACCTTTTCCCCAAAAATGTCCTGAATAATATTTTTTATTTCGAACGTCATCATGGAATCTACCCCGACGTCCCGCAAAGCTTGATCCGGTTTGATAATGTCGCCACTCGGAAGTTTCAACACGTGGAGATATGCCTGGCTTAGCAAATTTTGAACGACATCTGGCTTCCCGCCGACGTCTGATGAGTCATATTTGCTCCAGAATTCTTCCGTGGTTATGGTCACCTTGGTTTTTGAAGGGAGTGATGAAGCTGTAGATCCTTTTAGGGCTTTCAATTCCGTAAAGTAGTTTCTGGTCCAGGGATAAATTGACGAAATATGTGACACGTCCCCTTCCGCGACCAAGGCTTGTGGAATATTCGCCTTGAGCACGTGTTCCAACGCGGTGAACGCTTCGCTTGGTGTGAACGGCTTGAGACCCGGAATTTCCATGTCCGCCGCTACTCCGACAGATCCCCACTGTCCCCAGTTTATGGTTGTGGCGGGAAGTCCCAAAGAAATTCTGTGGGTTACCAGTCCATCCAAAAACCAATTCCCCGCGCTGTGATTCGCCTGACCCATCGAACCCAAAATTGCTGCGATGGAAGAATAAGTTACGAAATGTTCGAGGTTCAGTGATTTCGTGAGCACGTGGAGATTCCATCCTCCCGTGACCTTAGAGTTGAAGCAGGTTTCCATTTTTTCCCAGTTTTGGTTGAGAAATATCCCATCCGAAAGACAACCTGCGGCATGCATGACCCCTCGCAACGGTGGGAGGGATCGAGTTGTTATTTCCTGCATTAAAGCTTCACAATCCTGCATTTTCCCAACGTCCCCGTGAAAGAGGGTGACGTTGTTTCCGCTCGAGTTCAGAGAATCGATTACTCTTTGATTCTTCTCAGAGGGGCGGCTTCTTCCGAAAAGCACTAAATGCTTAGCCCCATTGTCCGTCATATATTTGAGCAATTCCATACCGATACCGCCCAGACCGCCAGTTAGGAGGTAGGTACTCCGATCATTAAACAAGCCCGGTCTGTCACTCTCCTTTAGATTTTGTCCCCACAAGCACACCACTTTCCCAATGTGTTTCGCTTTCTGCAAGTGATTCAGTGCTTCTCTTATGCAAACAGATTCGAACCTTGTTGTCGGTAAGGGTTCTATTTTCTTGGTTTCGAGCCACGAATTCAAAACGTCGCACAAATGTGTCCTAGCCTTCGCGCCGACGACTGTCATATCTACGACGGTGTACTCTACATCCGCTCTGAGAGCATTAGCCTCTGCGATGCTCCACGTATTAAGCTTACTCATTTCTACAAACCTTCCCGATTTTTGGAGGCAGGCTAGTGAGGCCTCTTTGAAACCAGGGCTGGTTAACGAGTTGAGAACAAGGTGAACTCCAAGGCCGTTGGTCAATTGTTTAACTTCTTTTTCAAATTGGAGTGACCGGGAGTCAAGGACGTGTCGCACTCCCATCGTGTCCCTTAGGTATGCCCGTTTTCGCTTATTTCCAGCCGTCGCTATGACAGATGCCCCAAACTGTTTTGCTATCTGAATAGCTACTAATCCAACTCCCCCAGAGGCAGCATGAACTAAAATGGTTTCACCGACTTTAAGTCTACCCACTGTGACGAGACAGTGATATGCTGTAGAAAATACGACTGGGAGTGTTGCTCCTTCAGCATGGGTGAACCACGAAGGTAGTTTGACGAGCTGATGTTGATCCTGGGAAATGTGAGAGGGTAGCGCGCCTTGTTCAAAATTACAGCCTAGAACATCATCTCCCACCTTCCACTTGGTCACAGCCTCACCGACGGAGGAAATTATGCCACAAAAATCAGCACCAATACAGTTTTCTTGGTCGAACTCGGCGCTTGGTTTTAAAACGGAGAGGACATCTTTGAAATTAAGCCCAGCCGCGACTACGCGTACTTCCACTTCTGTGCTGTTAAGTTTCGCTGGTGGTAGGATGCCAAATTTTAGATCAGATATAGCCTTTGATGCGGGTAGGATAAGCTTATTCCGATCAGATCGCGAAATGCTTAAGGGATTTATCAGTTGCTGAAACTTAATTGGCGTGGCTCGTGGGGTGTGTCGAAAACCGCCTCGATAGGCAACGTGGATTTCTCCGTCATCTGTCCACAATTCCATTCCGATTTGTTCAGCTTTGGATTCCGGCAAGGATTCTGACTCCAGGTCGATGCATGTCGTCTTGAAATTGGTGAACTCTGATTGGAACGTGCGCAAGATCCCCCACAAAGTTCCGCGAGCTGGGTGACCACTAGATGAATCAGTTCCAACCGGAATGATCCCTTCCGTTACCAAGACAATTTTTGGGAGATTGGTTGTGTTGCTCCATCTTGTGGTTGCCAAAACTTTTAAGAGGTTAAGAAATCCTTGGGCGATAATTGCTTGTCGTGTTTCCGAATCTCCGGGTAAATATATAATCCCCTCCAAGGTTCCCTTTGATTTCGACTTCTTCACCATTTCCCGGAAGTCTTCGATATGATCAGGTCTCAAGTCAGTAGTGTTATATTCTACGGCAATTGCTTCCCTGCCAGATACCTTTAGATTTTCGTGAAGACAATCCATGGCTTTGGAAGGAGGCCCGAAAAGCAGCCACAATGGATTTTCCCCAACTTTCTCGGGCACAAGAGTGTCTTCTGGCTTTGCCACGATTGGCATTGGTTTCCAAATATTTTCACTGATAATTGACGGCATCGAAATTTTCTGCGATTCGACAGATTTTGTAATAACGTCGATATTAGTTTCGACCAGATGGGCACCCTCCATTGTGGCGAGTAACCGTCCAACAGAATCTCGCAGAAGAGCGCGCTTCTCATTCGCCTGAATGTGAATATAGTATGGGGCATTGTTGGACATTCCGTACCATACGAACTCCTCGATTAATGCGGGAACACACAAGCTCTTCATTTCTGAACCTGCAATTTTCTCGACAAACATAATGCCCTGGATCATGGCGTCGATTAAGATTGGGTGGCAAAAATAGGCTTCTTTACTTTCAGAATCGTCCCCTGGTAATTCTACTTGCATCAGTGTTTCTGACCCGTTCGGACTCACCGCCTTCTTTTTCAAACTTCGGAACGCAAGTCCAAACTTTAGCCCGACTTTGTCCAAAGCTTCGTAGAATTTGTCCAATGACCCAACTCCATCATCATTCCAATCTTTCATAAGTTTTACGACGTCCAAATCTTGGTGTGAGGTTGTGGGCAAAAATGAGACTCGGCTGGACGCATGCGTAATCCACTTCCCGACATCAGCATCTTCTTGTCCCCCTCGGTGTTTATAAACTGTGATGTCCATCCCAGATCCTCCTTCATCCACCCCTGACGGCATCGCTCCAACAATAGTTTGAACTGTTGCCCCCGCATTATTGATATCCATTGGCGCAATTATTTTCAAATTTTGCACCTTCATGGGAAATTCGGGTATTCCGAAGTCATCAAAGGATGCCAGGGTTGACGCGTATCCACCCGCGAGACACATTTCTATGTAACCTGCGCCCGGATAAATTACATATTTCCCAAGCATGTGGTCCTTCAACCAGGCGCATCTATCCGTGGATTCGGCCGCTAGTTCAATGCGGGATTGGAATATGTGGTTGGATGAAGCGTTACGAAGCGGAGATCCGAGCAAAGGATGAAGTTCTTTCGAGTCAGATTGTCCCTTCGATGACGCCGTGAACCAGAAGGCCTTCCTGTTAAAGGGGTAGGACGGTAGGGATACGATATGTCCAGTGAAACCTTGGTGAAATCTGCGCCAATCAAGATTGACTCCGTTGATGTAAAGCTCTGTCAAGGCTGTCAAAATCATGTCGATGTCTTGTGATTTATTTCTGTTCAGAAAAAAATTGCATGTCAAGTACTCAAGTCACAAAACCCTTCCATAAAAATCGAATTTAGTTTAGTTACCTTAAGGCTGGAATGCAAGGAATTTTTGATCTTGACACCTCCGCAGAAGTCGAGTTGAATAGTGATCCCGCAATTGGTCTAGGACTCACATCCAGGCAAATTTGTACCCCCATTTCTACCAGGGTTTTACTCGCATCCATAAAGTGGACACTTTCTCTCAGTTGTTTCACCCAGTAGTCCGGCCCCATTTCGGCAGTTTCGACAAGTTTACCACTCTGCCCACCCACGTAGTGACATCTAGCAGGATGGAAAGTTAAGGTTTCGAGAGCGGCCGTATATTCGGCAATCATTGGATCCATATGGCGTGAATGGTAAGCCTTATTGGTTCCTAATTTTGTCCCTTTTACGCCATTATTTTCCAGCAATTGCAAAAAAAAATCAAGATTTTTCTTGTCCCCGGACACCACCGTCTGTTCCGCGGCATTAATGCAGGCTACATCCACCCAAACAGATTTTGAATGTACCGCAACAAATTGTTGAATTAGCGCCTCCGTTCCAACGCAATCTTTCTTGACGACTATCATCCCGCCAAGTTCCACTTTTTCTAAAAGATTAGCTCTAATTGAGACAATTTTAATGGCATCATCATCACTCCAAATTCCCGCCGCGGATGCAGCAGCAAATTCTCCGAGAGAGTTGCCCACCACCATATCAGGCTTAATCCCCCAAGAAGCTAATAGTTTATTAAGGGCAAATTCCACCGCAAATATTCCCGTCTGACTGTACAGGGCTTCATCAATTCGCACGTCCTCCGGATTCTCACCCCACATTACGGGAAGGACATCAATTCCGTAGGATTTCATGGTTTGTGTACAGTAATCAAAGTATTTCTGGAACACGGGGAATGTAGAGTAGAGCTGAAATCCCATTTTGTAATATTGCGCGCCCTGCCCGGAAAAGAGAAAGGCGAGTTTTGGATTTGATGTGTCAAATTGCCCCACAGTTATAGCTCCTTGGGCAAGTTTAGACCTCAGGTCTTCCGTATTCGTCGCTGTGATAGCAGCCCTCCAAGGAAAGAGGTGGTCCCTTCCGGTGTTTCGGGTAAACGCAATGTCAGCCAGGTCTGGTGATCCTCCTACGCTTAAGCTGTCCTTAAGGTTGGAGATTAAGCCTTCAAGTCCCTCCTCACTTTTCGCCGAAAGAGTTACAATATTCTTCGGCAAGTTTTTCCTCGTTGAGGCGATCCCTTCTAAGATTGAACTCCTTTCCGGGGCTTCTTCCAAAATAATGTGGGTATCCGTACCCGTAAATCCGAACGAAGATACTCCCGCCATTCTGGGCTGCCCGGATTGTTTAGCTGTCCAGGTATAATTTTCTAATGGAATTATGGCCGGGATTTTATCCAATTTGATGTCCGGATTTAATTCTTTACAACCCACGTGACCCGGGATGACCCCATTTTTCAAGCATAGCACCGTCTTGATTATCCCCGCCATTCCGGAGCAGGCCTCCGCATGTCCAATATTACCCTTGCCCGACGTCACGATTAAAGGATCCTTTCTTCCCGTCGTCTTATACACATTAGCAATTGCGGCAAATTCAATCGGGTCTCCAGTAGCTGTTCCTGTCCCGTGCGCCTCAATATGGGAAACTTGCCACGGATCTATTCCCGCGTCCCGGATGGCGTGTAGCATTGCCGCTGTTTCACCCGCGACAGATGGCGTCCCAATATTTTGCGGACCGGCTTCCTGTTCCTCGCCGTACCCACGGATCAAGGCATGAATCCTGTCATTGTCCGCAATCGCATCGGATAACCGTTTAAGGATAAGGACCCCACACCCCTCCGCTCTCCCGTAGCCGTCCGCCGATACATCGAACGATTTGCACCTTCCGTCCGGACTCAGCAGCGGCATCAAGTCGGCATATGTAAAGGGCTGAACGAGCAGATTGATTCCACACGCGATCGCAATTTTAGAATCGTTTTTCCTCAAATTTTCGACCGCATGGCCAACCGTCACGGAGGAGGAGGCACAGGCCGAGTCGTTCGAGCAATTTTTACCCTTCAAGCCAAAATAATGGCCAAGTTTACCCGCCGTTGCGCCCAGCGAGGTGCCCAAATAGGACCGGATATGTTCCCGGGGGGAAATCCCGCCGGCGGCCAAGAGTCCAAAATAGTCTTGGGACCAGGACCCCGTAAAAATGGAGGTCCTCACAGTTTTTAAAAGGGTCGGCGGCAACGCGGCGTCTTCCAAAGCTTCCCACACCACTTCGAGAAGGATGCGTTGTTGGGGATCCATGTAGAAAAGATCGCGGGAACTGAGGCCGAAAAAGGCAGCGTCGAATTCATCTACGGGCTGGGGTAAGAATCCGGCCCCGGTTTCGCGCTGAGCCTTGGTGACGGGCTGGTGCGTCCAACGATCCTCCGGGACGGGAGAGGCTGCTTGGCCGTGGCCAATTAAGAATTCCCAGTATTCTTGCAAGTTTTCACATTTAGGGAAACGGCCTGCCATCCCGATAATGGCGATGGGTTCGTTGTTCCCGGTGCTGGGTTTTATTTCCAGGTGGACCTATATTTAATTTATGAGGTTAATTCATACCTAATTAATTTTTTCGAATTATTTAACAATCCCACACACTAAATAATTTGGGTACGAACCATTACCCACGGCTGTATTCATTTAAGCGGTCCATTTTTGGGTAGTGATTACGATGATGTTTTATCACCAAGGGAAAATTGGTTGAAAACTCAGGTGCGAAGTCGTTAATCAAAAAATTCAGGACTTTCATCCAATAAAATTTTATACCAAGATTACAGATATTCCAAGTTTTTGACTAAATTCCCTGTAGTAAAGAAACATCGATACCTAAAAGTTGACCACTTTTTACGGTACCTCCCGATTTGTATCCAAATTATTTAGAGTGTACATATGTATAACTCATTACCTCATTTTTACCCGTTTGGAAGTACAACTTGGTCCAAAGTTTGTGCATAAAATTCACCCCCACATGCATCTTTAGCGGGTCGTACCCCATAAAGTAGGCCAATCTCGCGTCTCCAATATCCCCACCATCATGGGTGGGAAGTACGTCCAAAAATAATTTCTCGCTGAGTAAAGCCGTCTCGTTTTCGAGCAACCATGTCCCCAAACCTCCTTTCCCAATCGTCACGAATGCGGCGAGAGAATCAAAGTTATTCTCGGAGGGGTGTAACATAGCTATAGTCAACTTTCCATCTCGAGCAAGTCTCACAGTTTGGAACTCAGTTTGGAACAGATCGTCCATGTTTTTCAGGATCTGAAGATTTTACATAAATTAAATGTATACTCTTAAAAATAATGCGGGTATTCACATCACTAAAAAACGTCGCTTCGCAACACATCTTCGCAACTTTGCGGTGTTTGCGAAATCAGCGTCGTGAACGACTTATTTTACATGAAAATGCGTAAATTGATTATTTGCAAAAAAAATAATTCATTTGACGGAAAAGTGTAAGGTTGTCTGGCAACATTTCCAAAAATGAGGAGAAATGAAAATTTCACTTGACGACGAATTTGCGAAAAATAGTTTACGACGATAATAGATGCCCTTTTGCTTCGGATGTTTCATAAAAAAATAAAGCAATCTGATTGGTTGTCGCATCGCAACTCTTGGCAAACATCGAAAAGTTGCGGAGATATGTTGCGAAGCGACGTTTTTTTTGGCTTTTACGAAGTTGACGTGAATACCCACAATGTTAATGTTTTGAAAAGTTAATGCAATCTAGAGTAAATTAATAAGTATCATTATTTTTAAGAGTGTAAATACCATTGTTTCCGGATTTAAGTAGCCAATCTTCCCCAGCGTGACTAAACTCAAGGCATGAATCTGGGCACAGAGTTCGGTCGAATATTCATCCACCCTTTTTATCCGGATTGTTCCGTCCCACTCGGACAGAAGTTCTTTTCTAGATGGAAAAAAAATATATTTAGTTTCAGAATTTTTAGACTAGTATTTCCATTTCTTTACCGCATGGTTCCAGAAACTTGAGGGAAAACGAGGACAAACATTTTCTTCCGGGTTCCACTCAAGCGTAAACTTCTCGCCAAAACGAGACATTTCAAGGCAGCCGTGTCATCCTCCGCGTGTGTTATCCACGCCTCGCATAAGGCTAAAAAATTAAAAAATACGGTTATAAAAAATAAAATGATACAAAGTCCATACTTTTCGGATCCGTTAAGCCGATGGGTTACAATTACATTCGTGATGTGTAACTTGTACTAATAATTTTCATAAAATCAAAATTTATCATTTATTATTTATTCCAAGAATTGTATTGAAATTTCATAACGTAAAAAATTGCCGCAATTATTGGAACATTGAGCGACAAATTTAATCCAGCCAACGTGACCAACGACTTCTTAAAGTAAGGATTTTTTACCAGCTTATTTTGAATATAATTTATTTTTTTATAAATATATTTCGAAATTTTATTATATTTACATATCTATGTAAATTTAATATGTATGTATGTACATCTCTTCAAAAACACCGACTTACCAGACATTGTGTGATGCGTTTGTAATAAAATGCTTCCCGTGATGCAAGATAATTTGTTTGGAAGTATGTGAAAGAGGATGAGACGACGGGAGCGTGTTTCTGAACCGACTGAACTACTTCTGCCTTGTTTCTGCCTTGATTACTCACTTACCACGTGAGAATACACGGTGTAAGGGGGTCGTGCATGAAGCGGTTAGATTTAATGCACTACCGAAATTTGCCACATATTTTAGCTGAAGTCGCCACCGGATGAATTTTTCCAACTTTAGAATTTTTAGCCACCGATTTAAATGGTAGATACCACAAATTTAGATGAGCTGCGATTACCATATTTCATGAGTATAGGATTATAAAAACAATACAATTTACAATAATGTAATTTATTTATTTGTATAATACGTCTATATACACGTCGTTTTTTAAAAATAGATCTCAAGACATCCTATCCTTCGAATTTGTAACATAACATGCGGTGTACATATTGGGGGTGGTCAAAATTTCCCGAAAATCGATCACATGCTTAACGTACTCCCCACTTAACAAAGCAGGCAGATTAAGGCGGAGTTTATCCGGTATAATTACGTAATATTTATCGGTCCCTCTATCTATGCACAGGCACATGTTTGTAATTTGCATATGTATGAGTTACCCACTTCCAGTCGTACATGTATGGCCTGGGAAATATTCCCATCGTGCCAAACATCATGACAAAAAATGGTTTTTAACTTTTATAAATATGCTTGAGTGAACAATGATTTACTGTTACTTCTGATACATTTTCATAAATCCAACCAAAAATACGTCAAAATTTTTTATAACATGTTTCCCATTAAATTCCGAACTTTATGCTAGAGATGCGAATTATGTGTGACCAAAGAGCAATTTTTTTATTATTGGCGCTACCCCGTAACGATTTGTTACCAAAGAAATAATTTCATTCATTTAAATTATATACGGTTTCAATTTTTAAAGCATATTTCACCACAACCATATTTCCATAATTATTTTACATAACATCCTCAAAAACCCCGTCCAAAATTTGCATCGCGTTAGCCAGCATGTATTCGAATGACCTCCTGACAATGACGAGAGGATGGTCGATATATTCGTCCAAATTGGGCACGAATTTGATGACCTTTTCACACGTGTTTCTCGTATACTTGGAAAAATCTCGGATGATAATGGATTTCCGTTGGAACTGGATGCACGGCAAGGTTATGTAAATGGGGTCCTCGCGGGTGTAAAATTCGAGAAACGTGTGCAGCCAGGAGTCGTCCTTCTCGGCGGCGAGGTGCTCCACAAATTCGGTGAAGGGCACGATTTTCATGGGATAGCCGTACTGGGTAGTGGCAAATTCGCGCAGCTGTGATTAAAGTAGGGTGGAATTTTAGATTCGAGAGATTGCGCACAAATAAATTTTTGTTATTGTGATTATGGATAATTTAGATTATAGATAAAGAATGAATATGTAAAATTATTAGGAAAATATAATTGACATTGTTGAAATTAATATTATTAGAGAGATTGCGCTGTAGAAAATTTTTTGTATTGTGATGGAACGTTTGATGGCAAATATCGATCTACATGCAATTGAAATTATTTATAAGGACAATTCGCCCAACTAATTAATATTGTTGAAATTAATGTTATTGGAGAGTTTGCGCATGAGTAGGTATTTGGTTTTGTAATTGTAAATATCCAATCATAGTCTCAAACATGAGAAGAATAAATCTGCCCAATGTCCCAAATATTTATTAGCTTGTTGTGAATGCGAAGGTTTGTAAAATTTGTAAATTGACCGCAGTCATGCAAAAACTACCCTATTTGTGTACCCAGTTTATGAAGTTTACTCACATGCATATTGAGTGATTCACTGAATAAAAATTTCCTGCTGACAAGTGCACAAACATTTATTACCTTTGCGTTCTGCAAGATAAGTGCAGGATTTCGCTGGAATTCTGGATCATTGATTATTTCCTGTTTTAAATAGGCAATCAACGGTTCAATGTCCATCCCATCTTTGGCGCACACGTCAAGTACAGCGGTACGAAACGGCTCCCATTCCCCTGTTTGTATGGCGGCTTTAAGTTCATTCTTAGTCGACCAAATGTACTGAGCGATCCGAAGCATTGGGCCGTACCTGGAATAAATAGAATAATTCCGATTCTGAGATCCTAGAGAGATTGCGAAGGAATATTATTTTTGTGACTGTCGATCTACAATCAAACGTACAATCACAACCGCAAAACATTTTCAACTTCCGCAATCTCCCTATTTCAAAAATATATCATTTCCTTACTCATATGTAAGTCGAGAAATTGTTTCAGGTTCCCGACAATACTGGGGTGAAATGATATTATAGATTTCATTTGGACTGTCCGGATTGAAGAACAACTTGATCGATAATTCCGTACAGGTGTCCACGGGAAGTACTTGCAACGGTACGGGGACATCTGAGAAAATTTCGTAAAATTATGAACAAATTCGGCTCATAAACATATTTATTGACTTACCCGGCATCATACCAGCTTTTACAAAGTATAAGAACTTTAACACGAAATGATTATCTTTCACGTCGAATTTTCCGTCTCTCTGTGAATTATTAAATAAAAAAGTATGAAGTAGAGGAACTGAAGATGTACGAATAAATTTTACTACTTACTATGGTTTGTATCTTAAAATTAGACCCTTTTTCCATGCATTTGCATCGGGAAAAGGGACCAATTATAAAATATGAATGATTAATTTTTTCCTTACTGTTGCCCCAAAAACTTTCGGGAGGCGATAGATTTTACAAGGAATTCCCCTCTTGACCGCTTGACCGCACAAATTTTCTTGAATATATTTGGAAATGGCGTAACCAAAGTTGGGAGCTTCGTCAAAATCTCCGAATTTTGGCCAGTGATCGGGAGATTCTAAATTATAAGAATTTCATATGAAATTTTATTTAGAAACATGATTAAAAATAATGTTACCCTTTTGAAAAATAAACGCACTCAGAATTCGATATTTAACCTTAAATTAAATTTTACGTAAACTAAACTAGATAAATTCATAGTAACGTTGACTTCATAAAAGACAAGGTTTGCCCTGGAATTAGGATAATTAACTTTCAGTACAGTTCATTTAATTTTCCAACAGGTAACATTAAAAAAAATAGTACTCAGGACGGATTTTATCCGTGAAAAAATAGCAAAACCGGGAAAAAGAGACTTGAAGCATATTTTCCAACTGATCTGAAGTATACTCCCATTTTCGGTGAAATTCGAGTAATTCCAGTGAACGAGTAAATAATTAAATTCAAAGAAAACACCTTTGACCTGAAAAATCCCTGCAGAGTACCAAGCTTAAAAAAATACTTACTCAAAGTTTTCGCCATGTCGCGATCTTTAATCCAAATTGCCCCAACGGTGGATAAATTCAGGATACTTTTGACCCTGTGGTTCGACGCGAATTGTAAAATTCGCAACATTCCGTCCACATTTACTGCGCGGATGCCAAATCGGCGAGAAGCGCCTTTCCCGTAAATTTCCAGATGGCTCGCCATCACGGCGATGTGCGCGATGACTTCGATTTCCAGGGACAGTTTTTCATACGTGGCGTCATCCAAGCCCAACTTGTCCAGGGTGACGTCGCCCTCGACGCAGGAAATCTTGGTCCAATCCGTCCTTTCCCAGAGGTCCAAGACTTTAAGTCGGTCGATTAAACGGTCGCTGCCAGATTTGTTTTTGTTGGGGCGGACGAGACAAATAATTTTTTCGATCTGTGAAATTAGTTTGGAAATTTATGCAGGTATTTCTAGAATGTTGTGATTAATATGAATCGTTCTTATGAACACATACACTCTTAGAACTGTGGTAATAAAAATGCATACTCGCTTATTACCGGACGGTTGGTAAACATAGATTTTCCTGTGGTAGTAATAAAATTGTTTACCGAAATTCGTTATAATGCAAAAATTTTAGTTATTATTGTTTGGTATTATCGAGAAAACCAGAGCGGTAGCACAAAATTACCAAGTTGTGTTAATTTAACACCGCAGTGACGATCACGATTAATACTGCCTTGTATTAAATCTTTTAGTTAGAGTACGAGGACTCGCTCTCCAGATAAATAATTCGCTCGTGTTTAGAATTCTTTTTGAGCTAGAAAGTTGATTCTTAAACATAAATTTAAAGGTAATTAGGTTAATTCTAATATATTTATTTTGACCAAAGTGTAACCGATTCATCGTTTAAATGTAAATTTTACTTTCCAATTTAGTCACTGCAAAGTTTGCTGCTCAACGGGTCGAGCTACAAGGGTGAGTTTGTTCAAAAACATCGTTTATGAATTTTAATTCAAATTTATTTTAAAACATCGCATATTAATTAATTAATTAATTTAAATCGTATGTTTTGTTTATTTAAGGATTCATCGGTCAGATCAGAGATTAGAAGTCATTTGCTGAAACCATTGTTGAGATTTTGGCATTTTGGACATCTACTGGGACCACTGAAGTAATTGTAAATTTTAAATTCAATATAGAATTCATGGTCATTCATAAAATATGATTTAATAAAATATTGTTTATGAATATCTACCGCATTCAGTGGAATCATTACCAAAATAATAATAAATATTCCCCCAGGCGATAACAATACCAAATTATATTAATAATACACCGCGCAGTAATAATGGCATAACATAATGGTAATTATTTATTACTGCACAGAGTTTTTGTTGTCAGTCAGCAAAAGTTTTTTAATACCTCGTCGGTATTGAATCAATCCCGGGTCAGTAACTTTGGAAATAGTTACCGCACGGTAAACAAAAAGTTACCACGGCAGTAGAGTCACATAGATACTCCGCCCGGTAAACATTTTGGTAATGAAATTCTTAAGAGTGTACTACTTAAATGTAATTTATTAATCGTCTTATTAACCTTGGCGAAAAACAAAATTCGCAAAAATTCAGAAATTATTTTTCGAGGCCAATATGCTAGGTATACGAATACCTCCCAATATCGAAAATCAAGTTTAACCATACCTGTTCAAAAATTTAGTTTTCATTCAAAACTGCGTCATCCCAATTAATGAGGGAAGATTATCATTCACATTCAGTTATTAAGTAGCGTCAGTTACTTATTGTGATCACTTTGTCCGTCTGTCCGTCCGTCCGTCCGTAAGCAGGATATCTTTAGAATGGCTCAACATAATCACAAGCGGTTTTCGCCATTGTGCTTCTAATTTTTAGTTCTCGGTCGAGTTCGAAAATGGGGTCAATCGGACCACCCCCCACAGCGCCAGGGGGTGTGGTCCAAAATTAAATTCACTTAATTTTCATATGGGGTATCATTTTAAAGGAAATTTCGCCACGAATTCAACGAAATCAATATTTTTGACCTTGTGACCTTGACGACGAGGTCAGAGGTCAGAAAACACATAATTTTCATATGGGGATTTATTTTAAAGGAAATTCCACCGCGAATTCGAAAACGTTAATATTTTTGACCTTATGACCTTAAGGACGAGGTCAAAGGTAAAAAAATGCATAATGGTCATATGGGGTGTCATTTTGAAGGAAATTTGAGTGCGATTTCAAAGACATTAATATTTTTGACCCCATGACCTTGAGGACGAGGTGAAGAGTCAAAAATACAGAATTGTCAGAGATTGTGTCATTTTAAAGGACATTTCAATCATTCTGACGCTATTTTTTTATATTCGTTTTTAAGGGTTTATTTTCTTTCAAATTAATTTCATTTCATGTCATCGGACTTTATTTCTTACTTCGCCCCATGTATTAAGCATATTTATGTAGGGTAAAAAATCCTTTCATTGACGGTCATTTATCCAAAAGGACGGCATCCTTCAGTCATTTTTATTCAGTACCATATAATCAGCAGAGGGCGGATATGTAAATATTTACCGTACATAATGTACATAAATTCCGCAAAATAGGTATGTATGTATGTAATATGTGCCTAAAAAACCTGAAAATATGCTCACAAAAAATGTTTTCTAACTTGAAATTTCTACTATATTAATAATTTTGAGGAAACCTTAATTTATGAATGAAGAAAAATATTTTTACATAAAAAACTTCTAAATATCTACTAAAATATTCATATTTTGAAAAATACTCGAAATATACAGGAAAGTATGTATATGTACGAAAACCTTAAAATATGGAAAATATGGAAAATAATGTTTAAATTTTTGCGATCGTGCTTAGATAGGATGTCAGTATACGAAGTTTTAGTACTTATGTATGATCTGATTTGGTATGAAAAAGTTAGAAATACATACATATCAGCCGTCTGATAATCAGTCAAATGAATGATATTTGTGCCTAATTATTCATTTCCAAGTTTGAATTAGATTTAAATTTTTTTCTTGCAGTTTCCACCTCTCAAAATAAGCGGACTACCGATTCATGCATAAATATGTCCATGATATGGTTTGTATTTAAAGATAGGGCCTTTTTGTATGCATATGACATATGCCATATGTACTTATGAAGAAAATGGTCTAATTACATGTAAAATGCAAGCGTTTGGTTTGTCGTATGTTAATTTGTTTAACAATTTTGCCTTACCTGGTCCAATCGTGACAACTGCTGGACATAATACGGCCCCATGTTTCCAGTTGTGCCCGTGAGGAAAATGGTTTTCGCCTGGTCAACCCGAGTCGGTGGTAGGGTTCCGGGAAGGACCTAGCAAGTAAAAAAAATAAATTTACCCTGTAAATACTCTGGTAATAAACATTACCGAAAAGCACAAGTATATGACTCTACCAAAGTGGTAATGATAAGTTGTAATGTCGTGTTGTAATGTCATGTTGTAATGACTTACTACAGTTGGGAGCAAATTAAATTGTACGGTAGAAAAACTGTTCTATCTTGCATATGGATGAAGATAAGGGCAAGAAAATTTGCAAGGTAGTACCCCACAAACATTGTCGTTGGATGCCGTTCCTGTTTTTGAAAAATCTCAAAAAGGTCAAAGGTCACAATTTTTGACCTAAAAGCTCATTTTTCAACTTTTACAGTGATTTTTTTCCTTAGAGGCTTTATTTTTTAATCGATAGCTCAACTTAATGTGAAAATTTGGATATCTTGTTCAGTTCTCTACGATTTTTTTGAAGAAAGTTATGAATTTTTGAAAAAAGTGAATTTTGAAATGTTTAACATTGCGCTTATGGGAGAATTTGGTAAAATCCTCAAAATTCACTTTTTTCAAAAATTCATAACTTTCTTCAAAAAAATCGTAGAGAACTGAACAAGATATCAAAATGTTCACATTGAGTTGAGCTATCGATTAAAAAATAAAGCCTCCAAGGAAAAAAATCACTGTAAGAGTTGAAAAATGAGCTTTTGGGTCAAAAATTGTGACCTTTGACCTTTTTGAGGTTTTTCAAAAACAGGAACGGCATCCAACGAAAATCTTTCTGGGGTACCACCTTGCAAATTTTCAAGCCCTTATCTTCATCAATATGCGAGATAGAACAGTTTTTCTACCGTACAATTTAATTTGCTCCCCACTGTACCTGGTAAAATATTATTATCAAATTTATTACCGAGAAATCATTACCTGCGTGACTGTACCGGATTATTAAGAGTGTACCAATTCCACACTTTTAAAAATTTTGTAATTTTATAAGGGTTTGCGACTAACAGTGAAGTCATAACTCACCCAAAGAGTTATTTTTTTTCTAAAGTTTTATTTCGATATTTTAAAATTAGACCCTTTTTTATGTAAGAAACTCATCCAGAAAAGCGTTTAATTAAGCCAGTGTCGTCCTATTGACCAATAAATAATAAAATTTCTTACCTTAATATGTTCGGGAAGCTGGGCATCCTCAAACATAAGCTTGACCCGTTCCCGATACACTTTCTCGCCCCGTTTCGCTTTATCCTCGTAGATAATCTCGATCAACCGTTTTCCCAGCTGCGCCACGGTGTAACAGCTGACCAAATCGGGCGGTCCGATTACCGCCTTGGTCCCAATCAGGTCCTGCATTCGGGCCCTGAGCTGGACATGTTTGATCGAATTGAGCCCCAAGTCCTGCAAATTATCGTCCCTGTTAAGCGACCCGTTCGGCAAATCGAGCACCACGGTGGCCACGTCGTCCATATACTTTTCCGCGATGGAGATTCGAATCGATTCCGAGGACGCGGCGGAGATCTCGTCCAAGAATGATAGCGTGCTAAGTTGCCCCATTTTTACGGAGGGAATTTTTCAGCTGTACTTCTCTGCACCAAGGTGAATTCTATTCTGAATAAAGATTAGTATTTAATACTAGTTTTCTCACGCGGAAGGAAAAACCTTTAACGGGGAGGGAACATTCGTTAAATGGGTGAGACAAAATTTATGATTTTTTTAAAATCCTGCTTCGTAACACGTTACGCCCCCTTTTTTAACCTGTGCAGCAAGTTTACAACCAAAACAGCCCTCCAATCCGTTACGTACTTTATGAACGTTCCCTGATTTGCATATTAAATTTTTTTGGTCTCAAGTGAGCTTGTACATAGTTTTTGTACATATGGTTTTATGTATGCGTGCTTAATGGGATAGAGTAAACTTTCCCACGCACCACTGTTAACAAGTGTACATACAACGAACCCTAGTTGAAATTAGTACATCGAATTTTGCAGTAATCGACAAAAACCTTATGCGTATTTTATTCTGCATATTTTTTAAAAATAATCTTGCAGAAAATGTGTGTCGATATTATTCTATTTGCATAATTCTGCACAGGTCTCTGCATAAAGCTTGTGTGCAGAAAATTGGGCCAATTTTCGGCAGTAAAGCTGTCCAAATTTTTACTCGGGTTAGCTAATTGTTTCGCGTTGCACGTATTTAATCATTAAGCCGGGGTTGCAAATGCTTTCGTACCACTCTTAAAAATGATGTTACCCGTTTGAAAAATTAATGTAGTTAGAATTCTAGATTTAGCAAAGGATTTACGGTATTTATGTATTTATTATTTCCTTTTATCGTAAAGTACTTGATGAAGAGAAAACAAGAGATCAAGCTTCGGAAAAATCGTAACCTTACATAGCTACCCGATTTTCCATGGCAAAATGTTACTCCGCTTTCAAAATCTCGTAGTTTATTTTTCGATACGAAGAATACTAAAGATACATTCGAAGAAATAATGTATACCAGAGCGATTCTGAAACATGAAAGAAGCAATAAATTTTGCAGCATTTATGTTGAGCGTTTACATACACATAAATATGTAAGTACCTAGTGGGCCCAGGCTAAGTGTAACTAGCTTTTATCTTTAAAACCTATGGAGATTATCAAAATCTGATAAACCCATTGGATTCCTTCTGCGATTTTGCATAAAGATCACCAATCAATTTTTTAATACTTGGAAAGCTTATCAGCAGCGATAGTTTTGAAAGGACGCGGGCGGAGATAATTTTGCACCAAAAAAACTGGAAGAGAAATAGCGAATTTGAAAGTGTGACGGGAGTCGAACGTGCACTTGAATTGAGTTCAACGGACTATAAAAACGTTCATGTGGACAAGATCGACTAAGAATAGTCGAAGAATTTTTTTTTCAAAACGTTCAAGGACCACACCCATCGTGAAGGCGCTGAAGGCTTGAATCCTAAGAAATTCACAAAGTTTTAGCGGAAAATAGTCTCACAGCTGATATTGTAGACGCACATCATCCAACGAGCGCTCAAACTGAACCTTAGGCTTGGGGCTTCGAAACGTAGTACTTGCAACCTCTTGATTATGCCCCTAAAGAGAGCCATAATAAAGAAATGAAGGGCTTACCTCAAGGGGTACGCGCGAAAAAAGTTAAGAACATTCTGTTTACCGATGAGGAGATTTCGACTGTGAGGAAATCTTTTAACAAACAAAAGTACATTGTATACGCAGAATCTGTCAAAGATGTCCCCCAATAAAGAAGGTCAAAAGTTCACATTACCCAGGTTTTGTGATGGTTTTGGCTGGTGCAAGCTGATTGGGGTAATTTCTCATCATTTCGTGCAAATGGGGGGAAGGTGATGGAATCAAATTTCTTGAAATACGTTTTTGAGTCTGTGGTACATCCCCTCAATGGGATCCAGTTCAATGGAATCGACTAGACCTTTCCACCTGGCTCAGCACCAGCTCATAGTGCGAAAAATGACCAAAGCTTGACTAAAAAAACAAACTGCGGACTTTATCTCCACTTCGGAAGGGTCATCCTCCTCGCTGGATTTAAATCCCCGGATTATGAAAAATGTTCAAAGTTAGGGGCAAAGGTGTGTCCTAAGCCTCATAGAAGTTTGGAGGCTTTAAAATAATCTTTGACCACGGAATGAGACAATTTGTCAACGGATTCAGTGCGTAATTTCGTAATTTCTCGGCGTTTCGAGGGCTGGCGGCCGCCTCCTCAGCGCTGAGTTAATGCGGGGGAGGAAATTTCGAAAACCAAAAATTGTTTTCCACTCAGAATTTAACTGGCTTTCAATTAAGATTAATCAGAAATTTATAGCATCAAAACTGTTGAGACTGCAGCGTTTTATTTCAAAGACACTTAGGGTGGGCCACCTAGTAGACTATGCAAACTCTAAAAAATCATAAACCCTCAATTTCAAAATCGCGTCATGTGTCATCGCATTTTTTTTTTTTAATTTTAGGTTTTATGTATAAAATGAACATAATTTCGCAGGTTTCACCCAATTTGCTACGATTTGCATATTTTTTACAACTTCTCACCTCGCCGTACCTGATGTAAATATTTTTTTTATTAAACAATCATACATAATTGGGCTGCATGAATATTCTTGAGACTTTTCATGTTAAAATTTCTTATAAAAATTCAACTGTACCATGGAAATTATTGTTAATATTTAAAATAAATCTTGATGTCATATTTACAATTATCTATTTTTTTTAGATATTACAAAATGTCATCAGAACAAAGTTACCATACAATTTCCACAGTTAAATCATATTGATAGTTGGCTAAAATTCCTTGCATAAGTCAAATTCCAGGGATTTTCGCGTGCATGATTAGCAAGCGCTTGCATTTTTTTACTGACGTAATTTATTACGTAACAATTTTTACTTTAGCTGAGTGGTTTATTTCATTTAATTGTGAGAAATTGGTCCAAATTTGCGATACGGAAACCCTTTTACTTTATGTAACCCATAAAATTACGTATGTATGAAAGTGCTACTTGCAAGTCAGTAGAAAACCTTTTAATTGACTTCCGACACGACCAAGTAATAAGTAAATACATATTTATTTGCATATCTGCTGATCATTTGGTTTATTTTTCCTGTGTAATAATTGCTGGCAGAATAAAGCAAGAGTTGGGTAACGTATTTATTATGACATGGCGTGTACGCACGCAAATCACATGCATCACTTGTTAAATTAGATTATTGTGAAATCAGTGGATCTTGGGGTTTCCAGAACAAGTGAAGAAAACCAATTAGGTAAACCAATAAACGAGTTCCTTTAAAATCTGACGTAAAAAATCAAAAATGTTCAAAGCCACGATCTACATAGATTACTTACACTCTTAGATATGGGGTTAAGATTATAACTAAAATGTAAACGTGTGTGACTCTACCGGTATGGGTACAAATTTGTCACCGACTAATTATAAAGTTTCGCCCACTTGGTATTAAATTGTCACCAGAGCTAATAAATTTATAACCAGTTGGTGGTGGCAAATCCATAACCACGGCGGTATATACGTTTACTTTTTAGTTATAATCGTGCCCCAATTTCTAAGAGTGTATGCACTCATGTATGTACATAAGGCGGATGTGTATATATTTAAACTCGTCAAAATGTGTATTTAAAGAATTCGAAAATATGCAGATAAAAATGTTTTTTTCTAATAAATTTCCTACTATGTATTTATGTTATCTTAAGCAATATTCCAATATTCAAATCTTTATCACTCCTTTGAGGGGATTACATCCATCACCATAACATCTCGATATTCATGAATATTTATATAAAAAATGTCGAAATACAACATGGATATTCATATTTTTTTTAGACCTCCAAATATGCAGTAAAATATTCAAAAGTTTATAAAAAAACATAAAATATGTATGAAATTATGTACATATATGTATTTACGAACTTATGTAAATGTGTATGTTCGTGTACAGCGTGGAATATACTGTATTCATGTACATATGCAGACGTCGGATATGAATGACCGATAAAAGCTCAAAATATGAATGAAAAATGACCGTAAAAATTCCCAAAATCTGACCATAAAAAGGACTTTATTTTCTAAATTTTTGGCTTAATTTTTTGATATATTTTCTTGTGATACTCAATTTTTGTCAATAAAACAAGTTCTGGGATGATTTAATTCATTCCCAATAAATTAGATATATCACCTAAGGCGAAATTGAATGTAAATTTATTCAAGTTTCTCACAATGAATCATTGTGAGAAAATTGAATTTTTTGTTATTTTCTGTCAATAATTTTAGAATATGGCCAAAAATCATAAAATGAACCAAAAGAAGCCCGAAATATGATCCGAAATATGAATATGTCCCAAAACCCGAAAATATGATAAATATGAGAAAATATGCTTTCACCTACGTGACTTACTAATGACCGTAAACATTCTCAGAAAGTTTGGCGACTGTACGTCAATAAATGGAAAAAGACATTTTTCACTAATATCCGACGTATGTATGTACATATGTAGCAAGTTGAGAAAACCGGTTAAACCAATAAACCAAATTATGTATGTACCTGTTCAACCACGCAGTTCAAGAGGGGCAAGTCATTCTCGCGGATATGTGCAGCCAAAGGTGGAGTCAGTATGTAGATTCACGTGGTGGCATGGATTTATTTTTGCTTACATAACAAAAACATTTGCTAATAAAAAGTGTGTGATCCTCCCTAAAAGTCAGGTTATTTCGGAAAAACCAATATTTATTGTAGTTACGCAAGGTCATAGCTCAAAATTACGTAAGTATGGACAGATATAACTTTTTATTTGGCAAAAAATGGGAACAAGACAAGAATTAGTTTTCATTTTCTCAAGTAAAAATTGTATCGAAATACTGAATTACTTACGTAAATATGTAGTAATCCGTAATTTAGATTGGACCACCACTATCTTAAAAAGTATGCTCGCTAATTTCCAAAACTTTTTTGCAAAATTATTTCGTGCTTTTGTATCCCTTTTTATATACTAAATTTGCTAAAGCTCTTGTTATTTAGGGAAAAATCAACAACAAAAAATTACTACCTGAGTAAAATTAAAGTAAAAATTACGAATTTTGTTGTCAAACGGAAAGATAAAAAAATCGAAATTTGGACATGTTTATATATTATTTATTATCTACTGTCCAGTAAAATGTGACCCTTCAAAATTTTTTTACAAACCTAATTAATCGCTTAATAGATACCTGCGGAATCAATTTTAGCTACATCCAATTAACGACCCATCCATCAACTTACCAAAATCCGTTTCTACCTATATTCATGGCGTCCCGCACATTTACCGGAACTTATTTTGAGTTCGTTTACCCTGCCACATTTTCATCTTCGGATGAAGATGTCAAAAGTCACCACCCTCATTGCCCTCGCGACATTGTGCTTCGTGTCGCTCCGCTTTCTGCAGGATGACCCATTTCCGTACGGAAAAGGGAAAGAAATTGCCAACAAAACAACACTTCTGAGCAGAGCGACAGAATTTTTGCCCATTTCGGCAAAAAGCGCGTGGAGATATTCCTTCATGCCGACGATTATTATTCCAATTTTGGTCCTTCTTTTCACCCCGGCGAGGTATATTTTCTACCCGAAAAATGCGATCGCCTTCGGTATCACGTTTTTCCACTGTTTTTATCCGTAAGTTGTGAAAAATAGAAGTAATAGGGATAAATTTGCATAAATTAATTCATGATAAGGGTCCATTACAGAATTTCTATTTTTAGTGTGTACAATTTAATTTGCCAAGGCCTAACAAAAATAAATATGTATACATATTTACTTAAGATCGTTAAGAAATTAATTTGCGAAACGTATGTATGTATGTAAAAAGTTTCCATGGCAACAAAAATATCCACTTATCTACACTCTTAGAAATAGGGTTACGATTATAATCAAAAAGTTAACGAATGTGACTCTACCGCCGTGGTTATAAATTTGTCAGCTCTGGTGACAATTTAATACCAAGTCGGTGAAACTTGATAATTAGTCAGTGACAATTGTAACGACTCGATGATAAATTTGTACCCACGACGGTAGAGTCACATAGGTTTACTTTTTGGTGATAATCGTAACCTCATTTCTAAGAGTGTATCAATCTTCCAAAAATACATATTACCTTTCCAATACTCTTCAAATCTGCAATGGTTCCATATCAGTTTCATATCATATGTTTTTTAAGAGTTGAAAAAAATATTCCTCTATTTAAAAAAAATTGTGAATCATGCCAACTATGATAATCAATTCAGTTATTTTGAGAGTTTTTTTTATTTTTTCCCAGAACGATCTTATACTCCTCCAAAATTTCTCGGCATGCCCACCCCATTGGAATATTAGTCTTCCTGGCAATATTTGTCGTCAACGTGGTTCACAAGTTTTACGTTTTCCACGGCATTGCCAACGTCCTCACGCCGGAATCATTTACACTTCCGGTTTGCTGTGGAGCGGTAATTAGTGCGTTTGGCGTGGCAGTGAACCATTATCACGACGCGATTCTCACGGCACTGAGAGATGAAGGGAAAGGATATCAAATTCCGATGGGAGGATTGTTCACCTGGATTTCCTGTCCCAATTACTACAACCCACTATTAGTAGCCCCTTGATTTCGAGGGGCCTCAAGTTTTTGCCTACCTTGGTTAGATCAATGCTAAATATAGATATGCACCAGTGCATGTATGTACATATGCATCTCTCTACATAAATATGCATACGGTAATAGCGAGGGTTAATCAGCCTTGACAAAATCTACCATTCAGAAACAAACTAAATATTAGCAAATTCTAAATTCATTAATTTTAAAAATATTACTATAAAAATTTAAAAAACAAATGTTAATGAACATTCTCAAGAAATTTACTCATTTTTTTTTGTTTATTTTAATCAATCCTTGAAATTTGAATTCTTAAAAAATGTGGTCATTTTTATTTATTTTAATCAATTTTTTAAAATTTCATATTTTTTACAGAAATTTAATTTTTTTGTTTATTGTAATCAATCTTTAAGATTTGAATTCTTCAAAAATGCAGTCAATTTTTCAATTTTAATCATTTTTTTACATTTAATCAATTTTTTTAATTTAATCAATTTTTTAAATTTCATATTTTTACAGCTCGTGTTCGCCATCTTTACCACAGTCGTGTTGGGATTGCGGGCTCGTGACGCGAACAAATTTTACAATCTGACTTTTCCCTAAAAGTATCCTTTACTGCGGAGGAAAATAATTATCCCCTTCATCTATTAAATAATTCACCTTGTTCAATAATCGCCTTTAAGTTAATCAAATTTATTTACGTACTAATAAAAGTGAAGAATTACATACTTAAATACATATGTATATTTCGCACGCGTTGTTTTTTTCACTTTTCCGCAAAAAAAATCTGCTCAGACTATATTTTAATTACATTTTTCAGGAATTACGATACCCTGAAAATTACACACATTTTCCTGTGAAAATGCCATATCCCTATGTAATTTTTTATAAAAAGCAAATAATTACAGTAGGCGGGTTCCACGTGTTTGTTTTTCTATGTAATTTTTCTTAATAATAATCTTATCGGACTATTACATAAATAATTAACCTGGTTTATAAATACAATACATGTGTACATAATTCATTATTGGAAATCTACTCAGAAACAAGGGCTGTCATTAAATTGTTATTACGTACATAATACTACATAATTATGAAAAAAAGTAAATGTATTTTACACAGCGTGTTCCTCATTTTTTTCTTTCCTTTTTCGAGAAAAACCCTGATCTGATTATGACAAACACGAATAAATAAATACATGGCAAGGTTCATAGTTTAAAGAGATAATTGGCTTGGAACGTGTGCAACTTACTTATATATGTAATTGGAAAAGTATATAAATATAAGTATAACTACATATCTGTTTGTAAGTTATTAACAAATGTAGATCATACATAGTGGGGTCATAAGTTCTCGTGAATGCATTTCCGGTAATAAATCCCAAAGTATTAGAGCTATCTGTTCGAAATTTTTATGGATTAACAAGGTATTAATATTGTTTAGAAATCATAACTTCTTTGTCAAGATTTCGTCCACGGGCAATTAGACAAGACATAACTCGTGACGGCCACAGGTTGATCGTGGTACGCGCCAATTTTCGTGCCAAAAGTATTTCAGACTTTTCACCGTTGGCAAAAAATTTAATAGAAAAAAGGCCAGATATTTGTTGTACAGAAGTCTGACATCCGTTTAAGTATGCGGAAGTCAATACGAAGTCATCACCGTGGTGTGCATGGGAGCAAGTTGGCTGGAGAAATGAAATCTCTATTTTTCATCGCAAAGGGTACAAGTTGAAGCCAAGAATTATTTTCAGAGTGTCCTAAAGCCAAACGTTAATAACCTGAACCCTGGACCCTCCGAAAATCGACATTGGACCTTTCAACAAGACTCTGTTCCTGCGCAAGGTGCAAAATTGTCCAAAACTGGCTTCAGACGAATTTTCATGACTTTTTTTCATCCGTACAACGGTGCTCAGTATCTGCAGACCTTAATCCCCTAAATTATGACTGGTGGTCAAAATTATAGGTACAAGGATGCTCTAAATTTCACCCAAGTGTGGAAGGGCTGAGGTCGCACTTACTGAAGATCTGGCGCTTTTCCCTGGAAATCCGTGCGTGCCGCGATCGAGCAGTTTTCGCCACGACTTATGTCTTGTGTACAAGCCCGTGGAGGAAATTGTGAAAACGAAGTTATGATTTCTAAACAAGATTAATACCTTGTTCATCCACAAAAATTTCTATCAAATAGCTCTAATACTTTGGGCTTTATCACCGGAAATGCATTCACGGGAACTTATGGTCGGACTATGTACACGCAGCTATCCATGTTTTTTACAGATTTTTCAATAAAAATACAATGTTTTTTAACTAAATAAATTGAATATCCTCATGAGCAACCGGGTCGAGTGGCTCGTACATGCGTATTTATTTTTTAAGACCTTGGTGATCTGATTACTATAATTTAACTTAATAATTGGATTACGTGGAGTTTTAGTGGAAAAAACGTAGAAAAAACTTAATTGGACTGGAAAAGTTTAAACACACCTTGTTCCATGCGTGTTCCATGTTTTACGCCTGACTTTTCTGAGAAAAACCATGATCTGATTAGGCATTTAAATATGCATTGACATTCCAAGTTGCATACATACCTAGTTTAATGGCAACATGATTTAAGTCTGTGCAACCTATATAAATCAGAAACCTATCTTTTTCCTCGTAATTTTGCAATAAAAGGTTTTAACTGCTTTTTAATTAAATCGAATAAATATTCTCGTGAGAAATCAGCTTGAATTTGTATGTTTGTTTCCTTGGGAAGATGAGAATCATGGTTTTCTTCTACATAAAATACACATGTATTTTTTACGACTCGTCTTGGTGATCCGATTACTAGGAATTAATTCAGTTTAATTGGACTAGATAATTTGAATGTGTATTTAAATTGATAAGAAATTGTATGCTCGTGTAGGAAATGCACAAGTTATGTGAATACATAGGTTGGGATTACCAAGATTTTTGTGTGCTTATTTATTACATGTTGTGCAAATTCTTGCCGGCGCGTGGAGATTGTGTGACGCGTGAAATTAGAATTATGTAATTACAATTTCAAGGTAATATTTTAATCAAACAATAGTACCTATCATTTTGTTGGGTTCCAAAGTACGAAATTTCGTAAGGTAATAAGTAAATTAGAACGAGGAGATTTGTGCATGGAAATAAAATAATCTTTAACATATTTGGGCTGTAAAAAATACAAACTAGATGATTGTGTAAATGGCTTTATTTATTTTCAATTTAAAACTGGAGCGACAAAATTTGGAGGAATTGAGTATTTTAAAAGGGCATCATATTTATACAAATTAATTTTGACGTAAACATTGGCGGTCAGGTGAAATAAATTTCGATTTTTGTAAAAAAATATTTTTGGTGACCAGGTTGCATAATTCTGGACGCATACAAGTAATTTTATAGTCTACATAAGTATGCATTAAAATTAGACATATTTTATATGTAGATTTTATACAAAGAAAAGTATAATTATACAATTCCAACGATTGCATAATAGGTATTTCAATGTACAGATTGTATTTATCATGAATTTTGATATTTACTCGAAATTGTATACATACTTTACGAAAATTGACAGTTCTTCTAAAACTAAGCTACTATTAATTTTGCTTTATTTCAGAATATCAGAATGTAAAAATACGTGAAAATTCAACTTTTCTGTATTTGTTTTATCTAATCGTTCTCAAACCTTTTATTGTTTTTTTAGCTTCACTCTAAATAATTTTGATTACAATTTACTCAAGGTTGTGTAAAATTATCAATTACGCAGCAACGGTCTGTTTAAACGTTACACTATGAATTTTAAAATTTATACAAATTTGTACGATTTTCTGTCAATTATGATTTCAGATAAAAATTACTTTCATCTTGTAAAAAATTTGTGCACACGACCGGTTGTTTGATCTCAAATTTTACACAACTTTATTTAGAGTGCATGTTTAGAAATATGCATGAACTATCGGAAAATGCATGGTTTTCCAGCCTTCTCCAAATCTACGAGGAATTCCTCAATCAGATCTTTCCGATTATCATCGTGCAGCCAGGTCGTGTCGAAATGCTTGACGTTAAAGCTTCCATACAATCCGGTCCATTTTACGGGGCAGCCTAAGACAAAAAGTTGCGCAAAAGTGTTCAGAAGAGTTTCAAACTCGGTCGCAGCTCCGGTGATGGATGGTAACCAGTGGTACTGACCGGCCTCGATTTTCTTCTTGAAGTCCGCGTTGGTCTCCATGTTCTGAAATTAAAAAAGTCAATTGGGCTATTAATCAAGACTTAATCTTTAGCAACGTTAGCAAAAAAAAAATCAAAATTTTCAAACAACTTGGGCTGGAAAATTTCCGGGTATATGGTTCCCTGTTTTTATATCAAGATGAGCTACAAATATGCGATCTCGTAATGAGTACCCCTGGTACATATTTTCTTAAATTTTGGGATCATGAAATTTTCTTTTTGAATTTTTTTTGCTATACATAAATATGTAACTGTGTCATATAATTTTTAAAGAAATTCGTCAAAAAGTCGGGATTAAATGCTTAAATTATGCTCAAACAATACATACATATTTTTGCCTTGGTAACCCTTCTTCAGTATTACCTCTTTCATCATCGAGCCCAGTGGGGTGTCTGCCCCCATTTCGACGAACACGTTCACCCCTTCGGACACCACGGTTTCGGAGGCTTTTTTGAAATTTACCGGTTGTCGGAAATGGTTTGTCCAGGTGGCCGCATTTAGCGAATCTAAATAAATTCATGTGGTTGGTTTACTCTCAAAATAATTTACATATAAATTTTTATAATCCATTCTCACCTTCAATATTTCCCGTGTAGGACGACACAAATTTGGTAGTTGGCGCGCCATACTTGAATTTTGTCACCGTCTCGGCCAACGCTTTGATCACGGGTTGAACGCCCCTCGTATGAAACGGTTTTTTCAAGGTCATCTCAAAACACGGGATTTTCAAGCTTTTACACGTTTCCTTAAAACCTTGCATCGCTTTGAACGTGCCGCCCACCACGTGTTGGTATTTCGTATTGTGGGATGAAAAGTCTAACCATTCTGCGCCCTCTTCTTCCTCGAGAAGGCCGTGGATCATGTCCTCCTCCTGCAGAACGACGGCCATTTCGCCGTCCTTGATCTGATCCACGTTTTGCGAAAACCACCAACAAATCTGTACCACGTCGGTCATCATGTGATTGATGTTGGCGGCCGCTGCGGCCACATAATCGCCCATGGAGTGGCCTAAAACGTAGTCGGGGTGGATTCCAAAACTTTCCCAGACCTGGGATAGAAATTGAAAAATTCAGAATTTTTAGCATGTTTTTTTTGCAAATCTGTGAACCACATATTTGGCCGTGGATAGGTTTTAAATATTGCTCCTTGGCATAATCATAAATTCAAAGAGAGATACTTTGCTGTGTTAGAAATATGAGAAATTTGCGAACTCGAATTTGCGAATTCTATTTCAAGAAAACCAGGTAAACCAGGTTGACATATGTAGAAGTAAGAAATACACATACACAATTTTAAGAGTGTAGGAAAAATACTCTAAAATTTTCAAATCTAATTTAAAAACTCACCTTAAAAATTCCATAACTCAAGAAAAGTTGGGGAATAAGGGCATGCACCGGATTGTTCAGGAGCGCCCTGTCCTCTCCGTAGAGCGCGTCGAGAATTGAAATTTCCGGAATTTCACGCCTCACCGAATCTTCCGCTTGGACCATCATGTCCTCAAAAACTTTTAAGCTGGTGTACAACTCATGCCCCTGTTTGTAAGGGCACGTTCCATATCCCGGAAATAGGAAGCAAATCTTGGGCTTTACTTCCGGTTGGACAACTTTCCCCTTAAGGTAGGCACCCTTCTCCAATTTTTGCACCATTTCCGGTACAGTCTTGGCCACCACGGCGACCCGATAGTGGGAATTCATCGGAGGAGGAAAATTGTTCATGGAATGGGTGAACATTTTCAGATCGACGGAATCCCCGTGTTGCTTCAGATGAGCGATACATTTTGATATAAAGCGTGATAATTCAAGGTCCGTGGAGGAGGTTAAGGTGAGAATGTGAGCAGGAAAGTTAAAATCTTCTTCGAAATTCATTTTGCAGTAGTAAATATGCAAGGCAGGAGGATCGCAAGAAAGACACGTGTGCCGGGCAAGTGTCGAGGCAAGACTGACTGGTGGATTTTCCCATCCGCAGGGAACTTGTGCAGGTGTATGTGCTTTTACACAAATGGTGTGTGGATGTTAGGTTTATTTAATTCACGATGCAGTGCAGGATTTACAAATTATTTGAGTATTATGTAACTTGTACATATTTACATGTACGTATGTATACATATGTAAATACGCGTTCGAGTTTAAAAATTATAACAGACTTTTTTTATATGCAAGTTTGTCCCTTGGATACATACATAAAGGATGTGATCGATTTTCAGGAAATTTGTACCCCTTACCTCTTTCCCCCTCAAATCGATAACGTGCTTTCTGCGCAGTCCCTTATTGTAACGCATAAGAAAATTGTTATTCAATTAAAATCTGCGATACTTCAGAGAATGAGACAACTAATCTTTCATGGAAGAAAGACATCACGAAGTGTGCCAAGTAGTATATACCTATCATGAAATTTATCATGACACAAAGTATAAATACTATTAAATGCTTAAAATATTTAAAATATTCTGTGTGCACATATTCATTTAACAAATGTCAAGCGCTTCCCACAAGATGATTTTGGACGTATAATATATTATTTTATTCATTTATCGGGATTACAGAATTAAGACACCGTTAAAGCTGGTAACCAACCACCGGAACCGGCTGGTATCTTGGTCTAATAACTTTCCAATAACAACCTGCAATCCCTACTACAATGACAATGAGAAGACCAATCCCAGCCGCTACATAAGGCCAAACCAAGCCATGAGCATCTTCGAGCTGCTTTGTCGGAATAGATGCAATATTGGAGTCTTCTCCCCACTCCAAGTGTTCATTTGCTGCCCTCATTATGAAATAAATATCTTGACCGCTGCCGGACTTCTCCCAGAGGTCTTCCGGAACTTCCAGGGTGACCATCTGCCTTTCTCCAACTTGTATTGGAGTGAGTCCTCCATCCAGGATGGCGGAAGTGTCTGCCGTAAACGTAAATACATCACCGTCCGTACCGTCGTCATCGTCACTTTGTCCTAAAATAATCATTCGTGAATTTCAACAGCAAAAAATAAAAATTGAGTAAAATGAGTCCTACCCTTCAGGCTAACAATCCTGGAATAATTCCATGTCGCCCTTAACTCCAGGTTGCTAGCAGTTCCAGTATCTGCCACACCTCCGCCCGCATTCCACTCGAGATGGACCAATCTTTTCGCATAATCCACCGTAACAACTTCCAAATTTTGGATACGACTTGGTAACGGGGTCCGAAAATTGCCTTCCGCCCTAAAATACGGTATTGTTAACTCCAACAAACGTGTTAAATGTAAAATAAGTTTATGTATGAAATTTATTGAATACGCGTCTACAATTGCCCCGTGTCGTGGTGGTGGTTGCCATGGAGACGACGGGGGTGGGATTTTTGGGTGCGCGTCTCTCTTTGTTAAGTCGTAGTAAGTAAGTAGGTAGAAGAATTCTACACAGTCGAGTTTTAGTCGTTGTCAGAGTCAGACATTTTGGATTTTAGTCGTCGTGGTAGGCAATCAAGTTTAGAATTGTTAGTTCTTTTTTGCTGCACGATCAATTTATAATTAAAGTAAGTCATCAATCAACTCGTGTTGTTGCAGAGCTCTGAATTGTGTTGACCATCGTTTAATTGATTTAAATAAATTCTAGTTTAAGTAGATAAAATAATCGTATAATTCACTCAAGTCACTTTCTTTAATTCCAACGAGCAAGGCACAATTAAATATTCGTAAAGACACTATACTCCGGGTAGGTGATAGCTTGGTTTTTACAAAACGCATACCTAAGCTTGAACCTATTTCCAATTTTGGCAAACTTACTTAATTGATCCAGCGTTAATTTGTCTCCGAAATGAATACAGCTCCGGCAATCTTTCCACTTCCTTCGTACTCATGGGGACAAATGAATAGCTTTCCTTCCCTCTTAGTTGACACGATTCGTTACACGCCGCCTTGACGGTGACCTCATACCTTAACCCAGGCGTCAAGGGGATCGATAAGAAACGAGCGTAAACTCCGTCATTTACATCTTCATCGGCACCAAGGCCATTATCCAGTAAATCTAAAGTGGTCAAAATCTAGGCCAAATTTGGAAAATTCATATATGTAAATTTATCCGGATTACGCAGGGATATGCGCACTCTTAAAAACAATGTTATTCTTTCGAGCAGTGTTAGTTCTAAGCATATGAAGTAAACTGTACTAAATGCAGAGTAACAGTAACTTGAAAAAGGGTAAAGTTCACTCTTTATTTCAACTTAATTTAGAACTAAGAGCGAATTTACGTTTAAAAATAGTACCATTATTTTTAAGAGTGTGATTAGTCTATTATTTATTTTGCCCACCTTTCCATCCGGTGCTGTCACTATCGCTTCAACTCCCACACCCAGAACAAAATCTCGACCTTTCCGAATCCTCGCGTTAATCGTGATTGGTCTTTTGGCGGATAAATCATCCCCATAATTTATCGAACTGTTGCTTAACATTCCGTCCAAAATGATTGCGTGGGCATTCTCTCGCTGTAGCGAAGTTACAGTCAGAGATCCCTTAGCAGGATTGGCAGCTCTTTTTCTTCGGCCATTTTGTGGTGGAGCTAATAAATAAAATTAATGAGATACACTCTTAAAAATAATATGACCTTCTTAAAAAGTATGCAAATGCACTATGTATCAGATCTATTTCCATACACAAACTGTACCAAATCCAGCGTAAGTTAAAGCGTCAAATTTACTTTGGATTTCGTATAGGTTGCTTAATTTAGAAATTTAAATACATTACCAAAAGATTGTATTTTTTTAAGAGTGCACTAATTATTGGAAATATTTCTTACCAAATCCAAACGCCCACTTCCCGCTGGGAACTGTTTCTTGTTGGAATATGAAAGATTGAAAGTTCTTGGTGAAATCTTTACTGTCATAAAGCGTCCCCTCCGGTGAGATTAAAATCGGGGATAGTTTTAGGTTGTCAATATTTGGACTGTTTACAACCAGACGCAAATTTTTTCCGATGTCTTGGTCAATCAGGAACTGGATTTTCTGCAACGATAAAATAACAATCCTTAACTTTTGCTCATTAGGTAGAAAATGTTAGGCAGCCGTAATTTAATTCAAGGAAAGGCATCGACTAAATTATTTAGTCGATGCCTAACTAAATATGCATTTATTTAATCATTTCTCGGTTCTGGGAATTTATTTATGTATTTTAAAATCCTGAACGACAAATGACTTGTGTACCTGGTCGTTGCCAATCTAAAAAAATAATTTTGAACGTTTCTGACGATCAAGTTTAAGAAGCCTTAAGAAATTAAACTCGACACCCACTTAAAAACATTCTATCAAGCAACTCATTGAACGTAGATTCGTCGTCCACAGTTTTAAGATAAGTTCCGAGAGCTAAGAGATAATTAAAAATACTGTGCAATGCGACATGGAATCGTGCATAAGTTTATATATTTTCCTTGCATGAACTAAATTCTTACCTCAAGTTCTGAAACGGCAATTTCATCCCCGAAAACCCTCATCGGTCTGACACTCGGATCGGCATCGATATATGTCGCATCCGTTAATGCGTCACCCAACCTGGTCAAACTGTTGACATCACTGACCGACGTCATTCGACCGTTCGTCTCCCGGGCAAGTTGTTCCAGTCCGGGGTCAGCCTGACCGCCGAGGCCGATAGGATTTACTCTGGTACATGGCGGGATTTGCACTTCGCGTCTCCAGGGTGCTTTGTTCTCTTCCCCGTCCGTGATAAGATGAATGTCTGGGCATGATTCTGCCACGAAGGGGAGACTAATTGCCGCTCGTAACCCTGCGCCGATGGATGTCCATCCTATATCAGTATTTCGTTTTGGTAAGGCTGCTAGAACCGCGGCTCGTACGGACTCATCCCTTATCATTGTTAAACCTATTTACAAAATTCAAAAATCATTAATTGGAGAAGATTATTCATTCAGTGTTCTTTAATTCAAAGTTCGAAAACAAGCATTCACTCACAAATCGTGAGTCACAATGGAACCTTTTCTCAAGCTATACCGGGATCGAGTAGTGAGTTATGTCAAAAATCAAGCCACAAATTAGGAGGCACGTGACACCTATTTTTCCGATGAGTGGTCCCTTTGAATAAAAAAAATATAGGGGGTCAAAGTTCGCACTCCTCCCTGGTTTTCGCCCCGTGGAGGAAAACGCAAGAGAAAATTTGCTGAAAAATTGAACTAAACGGCTAATATTTTTCTTCGAAGGGCCATTCAACGGAAAGATAAGGTCACGTGACTCCTCATTTCCATCTTGATTTTTTGACATAATTCACTAGTCGATTCCAGTGTAGCTTAAAAAAGGTTCCATTGTCAGTATTATTTTTATCAGTTCGTTTTAATTCGCCTAATCTAATAAGACTGCACCCCACGTATTGTGCTTCAGGTGAAAATTAAGGCCTGAATTTTTTAAACCTCCGACTTATTTTGACGTCACTTCCAACTAAATGTGTACATGGTTGAAATATTATCTATACTAAGAAACAAATAATGAATAAAAGTACTTATTGTCCCTTAATTTCTTTAATAATGAATGAAAAATTTGTTCACTCTGTATCTGAATAAATGAATTTGAACAGGTATTACCTTTACTGATTTCGGCATGTCCTCCAAAAATAATAACAGCCACGGTACTATTGATAGGAAGTTGGGTAACTAATTGATTCGCCGCGTAAATCATGCTGTCCATCCTGCCGTGTTCCTTCATACTTGGAGAAACATCCAAAACAAGAATCGTGACTTGCGTGGGGTATCGATATACTGGATTTACGACACGTTCTTTTCCCCTCTTTGGATCCTCTTTGTCCACAATTACGACACCTAGGAGCATCTTATCGTAAATGTTTGATAGTTAGACCCAAGTCTTACGCATACAAAATTGACAGTGGAACATTTTTCTAAAGCTACATAAACTGAGATTTTGTAACTACATAGTTGTATCAAAAAATTTAGCTAAAAATCGGGAATCACATGGTACTTATCTTTGCGTTGAACGGTCGCTTTGAAGAGAAATATTGGAGAGCAAAGTTAAAAGTCCGTCCTTGCTTTTGCCCGTGGAGAAAAAAACGGAAGAAAATTTACTCAAAAATTGAACTTCGCCGTTGATTATTTGTTTCATGGGGGCCATTCAAAGTGAAATTTCCTAATTTTTGGCTTAATGTTTGATATAACTCGTTAAAGAATAACGGTGTAGCTTGAAAAAAAGTGCCATTGCGAGTCTAATTTTAATTAACATACCATGCTGAATAAATCTTTGGCCAAACTGTGCAAACACTTAGAGACCATGGCGGATCGTTCGCATCTCCTAAATTCGTCGAACTTGTACGGATAAATGTCGATGTCCCCGATGTCTCTGAAGATCCCGAGAAAATCGTCGGTGTGGATGACGTAGACCAGTTTGGCGTCCCCTTTCATAAGGCCGTCGTAATGCGATAATTCTCTAAAGTTTGGACCGGCCGGGTCCAGTCCGACTATTTGCCGGATGATCCCATAACCGAGGTGTTTCATGTGGCGGGCGGCTTTTCCGAGGACGTGAGCGCCTAAACAATGCCCGACTAGTTCCACATTTTCTAGCAGAATTCCTACGGTTTGCTTTAATTGGTGGAGTTCGTGCACGATATCGCGTGCCACTAGGGGGACAGTTCTTTCTACAACTTCAGGATATTTATAGGCAGGTTGAGAACTTGCTTGACACCAGTTTGCGAGGATTACAACTTCAATGTCCTGAAATGGAAGGATTTTATGGACGTATGTAACTGTGTTCATTTTAGGGCATCCAAAATCGGTTTTCGAATTTTTAACACACGGTTTGAATAGGTTTTTGATTTGAAAGACAATTGATAGTCTTGTAATAAAAAAAATTGAAAAAAAACGGTTTTAAGGTGTTCGTATATAACCCTTTTTAGCAAAAAAATTAACGCATTAGAAACTCCGTCTTTGACTATTAAATCACACAATTCTACACAGCTTAAAATTTAAAATATTATAATCTAGTTTACTTTTACAAAACTCTCACTTTTATAACTGGAATCAAAGATCACAACTAGAATTTTCCAAAATCTTACAAAGACTTAAAATCGATTTTACCAAAACTTAAAACACGGGTTGAATAAAAACTGTTCTTTTCTTTAACTTGTAAAACACAAATAATCGAAAACTCGTTTTACAAAGTCGTCCAGTTTTGGATGCCTTCATCTCGTAATTTGATGTAGTAAATATAAATAGTTTTTTGCACTTACCAGCCGATATTTTAAGACATCATTCTTAATTTTAATTGACCCAGCAATTTCCAAACTTTCACTGCTAAATCCATGCGAGTACAGTAGAACATTGACAGGTTTCACGTGACGTTTCTGAACCTGCTCCAAAGTCAGTGGGACGTTTGGGAAGTCACGATGGTAGTAGAAGAAAGTTGTGATAGGCTTATTCTCATTTGACGAGGCGTGCAATATGCATCCCGCAAAAAGAATGATGAAATACGAGGGTGACATTTTATTACCAGTTCCGTCTCAGTACCAATTCTGTAAAATTAAATTTGGGTATTCACGTCAGTCGCAAGCGTCGCGTCGCCTTTGCGGAACCTTTTTTAAAGCTACACCCAGATTCCCTAGCGTGTTATGTTAAAAAATCAAGCCAAAAATTAGGAATCACATGGCCCTTTTTATACCGTTAAATGGCGCCTGTGAAGAAAAATATTGGCGGTAAATTTCGAATTTTTAATTATTTTTTTCTCCATTTCGCTCTACGATGCGAAAAACAAGGCGATCGTGGGTGCTTTGCCGGCAATGTTTTTCTTGAAAGTGGCCATTCAACGGAATGATAAGTGCCATGTGATTCCTAATTTTTGGCTTGATTTTTTGATATATGTACCTAGTACTGCCATAAGTTTTGACCACTACACAAATTAATGTAGCGGACTCAGTTTATTGAATTTTTAAAAAATAACGATATAACGAGAAAGCCCATTAAATTCCCTACAAAACATACCAAGCAGATTTTAAAATTTCCTCCTTTTGAAGCTACAAGAGCCCAAAATCTAAGTATCCACATCCCACTCGCGGTACGCACTCATTCCAAGGAATATTAGTCTCATTTCTAAGCGACAGATTTTTTCTCGGATTTCAAACTTGTATGTGGTTTAGCACATGTATCTAGCTTCAGTTTGGATCACATGCCATATTCCAGAAGGTTGAGGTTCAGCGGCAGTGAATTTTATTCTCGGTCCGAAATGGAGTCAGTAATTTTGGATTTCAACCACCAATTTAGTATTTTGGTCTCCTGAACCGGACCTGAGCCATGTTTGCATGTCCAGTCGCTATTTTTTAATTGGGTGTGGTCCAGTGGTTCTCCCATTAGCTCGAAAACTTCAAAAAATACTTTTTGACAACAAATTTCACCCTCAGAGCAAGAAAATTCACTTTTTTGACCAAATCCAATCTACGCCGAATTAAAAAATCACAGAATCTGGATGGTGGGTCTGATTACTATTTTTAAAATTTTTATGAATAATATGGACTGGTGTGGTGTGGACAAAGTGCTTTTGCTGATTTTATATAGCCTCAATTGTGAAAGTTTACTAATTTTTCAAAAATACTTATTTCCATTTTTCAAGCGCGTACCGCATGATCAGTGCCCGGCATTTGAGGGTCCTATTTTTACTTGGCGTGAAGTTAGCAAGTGTTTCTTTTCACATCTTAAAAACATAAGTCCAAGGTCGGGTTTAGGGGCCTTGGACGTAGATTTACTTAGCCCGTTCATTTGAAGGGACATTTTTCTTAGGGCCCGGCATGAATTCGGCCGAAGTCAGGTTTTGCGCACTTACATGATATTTTGTGACCTTTTTGACCGTTCCTTTCAACTCGGTTTTCGGTTATCAACACCGCCAATGTTAGTGGATCATTTTATAGTACGGTCGACCATCTTGCGATTAGTTCCGATTTTTAATGAGCTGCTGAAAAATGCCGGATTTTTATGTTTACTAAAATGTTTCTGAAAAATTGCAACACGTCAATTTGTCCGATCTGTCATTTTAGCACCTTGTATCACAAAAAATTTCGGAACATGGTTTCTGATAGACAATTGCATGGGGAATTCAATAAAAAATAGTACAACTGGCTAACGTAACTGCTACTGATGTTTTTGGCGCGCGGAATGCTTCAGACATAATTTATGGCAGTAGTAGGTATGTGATAATGTATGTGCTGATATGATAAATTATGATAAATAATGTGCTCGGAATGATTACTTGTTGTCTTAAAGAAACTAATAATTTACTTACAATACGATGACGCCAGCGGTCTCGCTCCGAATTTGACGAAACCACGATAATTATGTAGCATTAGATAAATAATTAAACACGTGTTTCAGGATTTTTCATAATGCTCAGCTTAAACGAAATTATGACGAAATTCATAAGCGAGAATTCCCATTTTCACGGTGACATTCTTCTCGCAAGGGAGAAAAATACTGATTCTCCATTACGAATTCCATCATAATTTGGTTTAAGCTTAAAATGCGTGGGCATGAAGTGTTTTTTTTTCTATTTTATATTGCTTGCACAAATTTTGAAAATTTTTGAAAATTTCCGAAAATTTTGAAATTTTTTGAAATTTTTTGAAAATTTCTGAAAATTTTGGAAAATGCAACAAACAAAAATCGTAGAAAACCACTTCGTGCCCACAAATTTTCAGTTTAAACGAAATTATGATGGAATTCGTAATGGAGAATCAGTATTTTTCTCCCTTGCGAGAAGAATGACACCGTGAAAATGGGAATTCTCGCTTATGAATTTCGTCATAATTTCGTTTAAGCTGAGCATTATGAAAAATCCTGAAACACGTGTTTAATTATTTATCTAAGGCTACATAATTATCGTCGTTTCGTCAAAATCTGAGCGAGACCGCTGGCGTCATCGCATTGTTAGTTTTAGTATCTTATTGAGTAAACAGTAATTCTGATTAATTTTCGCTTCGCAAACACACGTAGCAAACTTACGTATACATATTGTAATGGTTAAGGGTTTTACGAAGTTGACGTGAATATACCCAATAATATCAAAATAATGAGGGTATTCATTATTTCTTCGTATCCATCGTATCGTAAAATAGTTTACGAAGAAAAAACAAGGGGTCAAGTTTAGTAAAAATCGTAAGCGTAGTAACGTGATTTTCGATGACAAAATCTTACGACGCTTACAAAATCTCGTAAGCTTCGTAAGTTATTTTACGATACGAAGAATACTAAGGATACGAAGAAATAATGAATACCCTCAATATGTGCATTAATCAATACTTAACGCAAAAAACTAAATTATGAACATACCTATGTACATATACTATTAAAGATCTGGTAGAGTCCCATACATATACATATTCTTGGTATTGTTTTGGTAATAATTTCCTACCGGATTGGTAGAAATTTGACTCTAAGTGGAAAATTGTGTATTACCGAATCGTAATTCCCATTATTACCACATCCCGTTGAGTCACATGTGTACATTGTACTCCAGTCAGTAATAATTTAATACCAATTCTCTAAGAGTGTAAATAAAATAAATAGAGGAATAACTTACGTTTATGTATAAATCTGCCAACTTTCCAAGCTCAATTAAACACTTTACCTGCTCAATGCTTAAAATATAATTGATGGGCAGAGTGGACAGATAATTGCATTAGCCGTGAGCTCGTAATCTTATCTGTATCCTGTTTTCAGAATAAAAATGCCGACTGCATGCACTTTTGAAGGTGAGCCTTGTTGAGTCGGGGATGCTTCTTATCAGAGGAAATGTTGTGTAAATGGCTTACTCTGTTATGTCACGAATTATGTATTTATACGCCAAATGACTACGTGCACGAGAAAAGATTTACTCACCAAGTTGTCCTTCACTGGTTCCTAGAAGAATGAGAATGAGGATGGTGACAGGAATCGTTACTGGCCCAGCATGGGATGTGATGAACATTACGTGTAAATTTTTAATGGAGAAATGGAGGAGGAAAGCTTGTGACTAACGGAATTACAGATTTTGATGGGGTAACCATTTGAATAAGATGTGTATTATTTTGACATTCTCGTGAAGTATACTTCACGGCAAGGGTATGTAAACTTGACGTAAAGTTTACACAGTCAGTGTTAAAATCGTGTTCATGTTAATCCAGTGTGCATATATCAAATTATCTCACATAATTATAACGCACAAAAGCTAACGTTAACAAATGCACCTTTTTGTAACGTTAATATGACATTGCGAATTGTTGATAAAACTACACCACATAAATCTTAAGTCATATTTACACCTTATTAATGCTGGGAGATTTTCATGAAATCAACGTTGTAGCAATGTTGACAAAGAGTTAAAACAGCGTTATAAATCCATGCAACCTTTCTCACTCTGGACGCTTCTCCGTCCACCGCCATTTACGTGCAGTTGGATTTAGGCAGAGCTGCTGTAAAAACCAAGCTATCACCTACCCGGAGTATAGTGTCTTTACGAATATTTAATTGTGCCTTGCTCGTTGGAATTAAAGAAAGTGACTTGAGTGAATATACGATTATTTTATCTACTTAAACTGGATTTTATTTTCAACAAATTATCAAATTGTCAACACAATTCAGAGCTCTGCACTAACACGAGTTGATTGGTGACTTACTATTAACAAATTAATCGTGGACATCAATTACAAAGAATTAACAATTCCTACTCTTGATTTCCTACCACGACGACTAAAATCCAAAATGTCTGACTTTGATAACGACTAAAACTCAACTGTGTAGAATTCTTCTACCTACTTACTTACTACGACTTATAACAAAGAGAGACGCGCACCCAAAATCCCACCCTGACGTCACCATGGCAACCACCACCACGTCACGGGGCAATCTTACACGCATATTCAACAATTTACAAAAATACATAAAAAAATTTCATAACTACATCATTTTACATTTAACAGCTGCCTTGCATATCATAAGTTTCTATACTCTAAGATAAAAACTATTTTAATGAAGAAATTCGTAGTCGCCGAGTTTTTCGACGAGTCACCAGTCACCGTGGAAGCATTCCCAACCTCGTGGTTATCTGAAGATGGGAAAACCTGTCGCTGGCCACTAAAGTGCACACCAACTTTATTAAGGAAAAAGGATTCCCTTTTTAAATTGGAGCGTGAACAACTGCCGGATTCTTGGATATTTTGGTAAGATTTGCACGCTTTTTTAAATTAAAATGTGGTTGCAATTTATTTTTGTCAATTCTTTTCATTCGTTTACTTTGTTTTGTTTGATATAAAGATGACTACGAATCCGCGCATCAAGGAAGCAAATTGGCGGAGGAACAGTCCGATTTAGAGAACAAATCAAGTGACAAGCGAGCTCAGCGAGCTCAACAAACTTTTTCTTCAACTGCGAGCTCCGACGCTGATGATGAGGAGCAGATATCTTCCAATAAAGACAAAATACCAATGTCGGAAACTCATTCGTCACAAATTTTAGAGCCTGTTGTTCCTCCAGTTGGAAATTTGGAAACCGGTAAGTAAATGTGAATTATTTCGCAAGAATATAGAAACCGCAATTGCGAATTAATGTTGCTATATTTAATTCAACTTTTAGTCGTGAAAATCCCCATTCCTTCAACATCCAGTGCCAACCAGCAATCGTGTCTGCCAAGTGATACAGAACAAGTTGCCGAAGGGGGTCAAATCTTCACGTTAAATTTCGACGAGCTTGTTAGCAGTTTAGCCACTCCACGCTCAATAAATAATGCACGGATTAACAAGGACGGTAAATATTTCACTGAAGATTTTGTATAAATACTTTGGTACACTGAATATTTATTTCTAATTTAAAATTATTGATTCCTCACAGTTTTCGAAAATCGGATTTTGAGGGAATTGGTCACTATCAAGCAAATCCAAAGAGACATACTAACTGCGATTGAGAACCTCCAATTATGTCCTGCTGCTGAAAATTCAGAGAAGGAAATTGACTTCATACAGCTACCGGACCTTCCCATTGCTAATGAACAAGATTTAGAATCAGCCAATGCAGAGTTAGCTATTCCAGTGAAACGAGATCAGATGGTTAGATTTACTTTTTACCAACATTTATTTATTAATTTTGTACGATTTGAGTATACATTAACAATTGCACTATTTAGATCACAAATCTGGCTGGAATCGGAGGTAAAACCATTGACGAGACAGTTAAAGGTGTTTTAAAGCGACTAATCTCCCCCGAACTTCGTAAAAAGCTAAGTTTCACTGGCAAAGCGAACAACAAGGTGGCCTACTCCAAGTTCGAGAATATACACATGATAGTTCTTTGTAATTTTAAAAATATTAATTGTATCAATAGGTGTATATATTTATTCGATGTTTTGTTGCCTAAATTTCAGGTGCGGTGCGGAGAAATAAAAAACTAAAAATCAAGAACAACCCAGAAGTACAAGTCACAGAGGAGGAAATTCGTCAAGTAATCATGGATTGGTTCAGATTTGCACCCAGCAAGTAAACGTTAATTAGATAAATTGTATGCTAAATGGTATTTAGATTAGTTGTAATTATGTCATCCGATAGAACTAAACGTAGAAAAATACTTCAAGGGTATTAGGCAATATTAGCAGAGATAGCTAACGAGCAAATTAATTTAGAAATTCCCTCGTTAAATCTTCCAATAAATAATACTATAGATACAGATAGCAGTAGCAGCGTCGATTTTTCAGTAGCAGAGCGATTATCAGAGTTAGAGTTATGTGACAAAGAGTTTAATAATCTTTTAGAACAATCATCTCAATCAGACTCTAGTGACTCCGAATGTATAAGTAATCTCGAAATGTATGATAATTTTAAGAATGACTTGTTGAATTGGGCGTTATCAAATAATATAACTTCTGTAGCAATGGATGGGTTGTTAAAAATTTGCAGGGATAATTTGCCTGAAATTTCGCTCCCATTATCTTCAAAAACAATGTTGAAAACGCCAAATACGTATAATATTGTACATATTGGAGGAGGCAGTTATTATCATTTTGGTTTAAAAATTCAGCTCATGCGATTATTAAATGCCCAAATAACAGCAACGGAAAGAACGCTAAATATAATACTCGGAATTGATGGATTACCTATTAGTAAAAGTAGTAAGGCGCAGTTTTGGCCTATTTTAGGAATATGTCAGAATCTCAATAAGCAGCCATTCATAATAGGACTATATTTTAGCGAAAGGTCGAAGCCATTGTCTATTCACGAGTTTCTGTCCTGTTTTACTGAGGAATTTCATAGTTTATATTTAAATGGATTGTTGTTCAATAATTTGAAATATAATATAAGGCTTCAATGTCTAGTAGCAGATGCCCCAGCACGTAATTATATAAAGTGTAGTGTAGCTTTTAATGCATATTCAGGCTGTGACCGTTGTGTTCAAAAGGGTAAATGGTTAAACAGGGTGACTTTTAATGATAATCATGCGGTTTTGAGAACAGATTTAGACTTCATCAATCAATCAGACAAATCTCACCATGTCGGAGTTTCACCTTTACTTGGGTTAGGGTTAAGACTGGTATCTGACGTGGTTTTGGATTACATGCACCTTATATGTTTAGGAGTCGTAAAGAAAATGCTGGTTTGCTGGAAGCGCGGTCCATTAAAACATCGAGAAGGGAAACGGTTTCAAATTTCTGTCTCCGAAAAATTAGTAAATTTCCGTAAATTTGTTCCCTCCGAATTTAATAGAAAACAAAGATCTTTGTTCGATTTGGAATATTGGAAAGCGACAGAATTTCGCACTTTCCTTCTTTACCTAGGTCCTGTTGCCCTCAAAGGTGAGCTAGGATTTGAGAAATACATTCATTTCTTGCACTTAAGTTTAGCAATAAGAATTCTTCTTTCTGACAACAATACCTGGTATGGTTTTGCTCGTTCGTTGCTCACAACATTCGTAACTAATATACCAATTTTATATATGCCTGAATTTTTAATATATAATGTTCATTCACTGCTTCACATTACGGATGATGCAGAAAAATTTGGCAGTTTGAATAATATCAACGCTTTTGCCTTCGAAAACTTTATGCAAAGTATAAAAAAAATGCTGCGTGGTAAAAACAGGCAATTGCAGCAAATTATTAGGCGAGTTCATGAGTACCAAGAAATGTTCCCAGAAGCAATTTTACCAGAACAGAACACAATTAATGCATCACAAAATCTTAGAGATAGTGGGTGGATGCTCAAGAACGGTGAGATCATTTCTATTGTAAAATCCGAGAAAATGAACTGTACAATATCGTATAGAAAATATCTATTTAGAAAAGAGTTTTTTACGCTCCTATGTTCAAGTACTAAATTTAATATCTACGAAATTAAAAATTTGAGTCCGAAAGTGTACTCAGCAAATCGGTCTGAGCTTTGTGAGCTTGTTATCCTTCCATTATCAGAATCAGATGAATTTGTTTGTTTTCCGATTTGTTAAGTTTTTGTATATAGTACGATTTAA